GTACTCGCAAAAACCGATTTGGTTCGGTTTAATTGTACTCGCAAAACCCGATTTGGTTGAGATACCGACGTTTGCGGTATGACTATGGATTTGAAACTCTCTCTATCACCTTCGTTTTTTAAATATAATGCCACATTTTGGTTTGCCAATTTGGATAAAGCCGTAGTTGGTTTATCCCAATGTATATGATACCGAATTAATTACTCTCTAACAAGTTTTTAGACCACAAAACATTGGTTGAACTAATTGGATTCTAGATTTTGCTATTTGACGTTCCATATAAGCCCACCTATGAAGGGTTGGAGAAATTACAAGGTAGTTTTTTTGTTAACCAAACTAAACCGGAATAACTTCAAGAGTGGAACCGGAAACAAAAGCCCAAGCAATGTAGATAAGAAAACCAAACCAAAGTAATCAAAACGAGTCCCGGTTATGTGCGGAGATAAAAAGAAAACTAGAAAGAAACCGGTTCTTTTTGACATGGGTATGGTATTAATCTGAAATCGAACCGAAACTTGAAACAAACAAGCAGACCGAAGGTTGGTATGAATCCGGTTCATCTTCAAGTATGCCGGTACGCTACACCATGACCATGAATGAATCTTGCATTCTCTTCGCTATAAACTTCTGTCTCCCTCTCAAGCCTGTCCAAAAAAATTTAACTTTTAAATTTTTTTATAAGTTATAATATCATTTTTTTTCATAAGAAGAGAGAAAATTGAGGAATATATTACGCGAGAGAGATGGTTTTGTTGAGTGTAGCAGCAGAGAGGAAAGAAGGAGCATTCAAATACAGCAACTCTCCATTAACTCTCTCTTCGATTCTTCGATCCATTTCTTTAACTTCAACTTCAAACTCTTGATCTGAAGCCATCACCCATCCCCATGTGTCCGCAAATGATGGTACATGTGCTGTGTAAGCCTTCACGTCTGTTTTTCATTTCAGTTTCTCATTACAAAATGGACCACACAACACAATGTCTCTAACTCCGTAGGAGAAAAATTAAAAAGCCTTACACTTGAAAACTTGCTTCAAGGTGTTGTAGATTGATGTGAAGACCTCCTTATGAGTGAATATTCCTGCTGGTCCAGCCTATTTTTTTTATATTATAAATTTACATCAAAGAAAGTATATTGAAGTAGAGTTTTGTGTTATATACTTAAAAGTAAATGTTAAAAAAATAAAAAAAAATGAAAGACCTGGGTCACAAAAATGCCATTAGGGTTAAGTTTGGGTTTGAGGATGTTTTGGTAGAAAGATTTAGTGTAGAGCTGATAACAAGGCCCACCTTCCACTGGATCAGCTAAATCTCCCACTATTATATCAAACTTCTCTTCCCTTTTCTCCAATTCAGCCCTTTTTCACATTTTCACATTATATATTTAGTAAACGATTTTAAAGTCATAACTCTCACTGTGAATTGTTTAGTTTCCTTACTTTGCATCTTTGATCACAAGTTCAAGCTTCTTGTTGCAAAAAGCTTCACTGTTAACGGTTAGAAATCGCTTGCAAAAATCAACAACTTCCTGAAAAGATATAATATAATTAAGTATATAACATATATATGTTTGTTAAGAATGAATGTAAATTTTCGTTGATAATATATATATACATCTAGAGATAAGACCAGGTTTAGTATGTTTTTTTAACCTGATCAATATCACACATGACCACTTTCTCGATTGTCTTATGTTTAAGTATTTCTCTTGCAGCTGAGCCTTCACCTCCTCCCATTATAAACACCGTCTTCGGGCTATTAAAAATAAGCAATTTGTAATGGTTAAGTAAATAAAAATTTAATTCCATTTACGGCTCAAAACTATATATAAATAAGAATTTTTTTTTTTTCTGATCATAATGAATATTAGAAGAAAAAGTTGCATACTTGGGGTGGAAAAGGAGGGCAGGGTGGATCAAACATTCATGGTAGATAAACTCATCTCTCTCTGCACTTTGCATTTTCCCATCAATCACAAGTACCTGTGTTTAAGTACCAAAATGATCATTACTCTTAAGAAATTTGGTAATAAATCAAAACTATACGAAACAAAAAATATACTATAATTTAAGAAAATTGTACCTTTCCAAACCGTTTGGTGTCCAAGAGAGCAATGTCTTGGTACTCACTAGTTCCAATATGGAGAACGCTGTTGAGAGCAAAAGACCACTTGAGATCATCATCGATGGTTTCTTCGTACCAATGACAGTCCTGCTGGTTCGAGTGGAGGGTTTGGTTGGTTGATGTGTCTTTGTGAATCTCCGGGAACCCATTTCCGAACATGATCTCTACGGCTTCTCCCATATTCAAAATTCACAAACAGAGCAAACACACAGTAGATAGAAAGAGAGAGAGACAAGAGGAGTGATACTAATGCTTCGTGATGGGATGTTCCAGAGAGACAACCTTTGCCTTTTTATAGAATCTAAAAAAATCAACCTTTTTCTTGGGTTTTTATTCTTTTTGGTAAAAGGTAGTATAAACTATCTTCTTTGTTATCTAAAACAAAGACTACTAATAAACTGGGGAACAAAGATCTTTCTTCTTTCGTTTTTCGTTTTCCTATAAAAAAGTTTTTATCAATGTATAAATTGGAATATTCTATGGGATTTTTTAACAAAGTTTTTAGATAACTCTCAGCATTTTTTCATGAATGCTTAGCCATACTGGTGTTCATGGTATTTTTAATATCACAGATTACACCATTTAAATGAATTAAATACACAATTCAATGGATATATTAAGTTTAATAAACCAAATTAGCATTAATATTTTATACGATCCGCTCTCAAATCCTTTGAAAAAGAATTAGGAAGACACGAATCCGAATAAATTTTGTTTTTTAACCATTTGAATCAAAGTATCACAATTTTTTCATGGGATCAATTATGAGACTTATCGTTTTTTTTGTAAACAACATAAATAATATTATTCTACCACCATGTCAAGAGAGCTTATCATTTTGTTTCAGAAAATAATTTGTAATTCTGAACGGTTCGTTTTATAATAATATTTATATTTTTAGCAAAAATGTTAAATTGAAAATTTTATTTATTTATATATAGTTAGAGAC